AAGTAACAATTATCTCATCCAATTAACTAACAAATTAAATAAAAAAGAACTCAATTAAAGAGAAAAAAAAAGAATTTAGAGTACTTGAAACTTAATTAAACCTATAATATTATAGCATTTTAAAAATTACTCTCTTTAAATTTAAATTATGTTTCTGTTTGTTCCAAATTTTTTGTACAATTTGTGGTCTTTATAGCTGTTAAATACCAATGTCACGTCTGTAATACCACTACATCTTATATAAAATTAATCTAAATTATTACATTGATTTGTTTTTTAATTAGATAAAGGGAATGCATACTCTCATTCGTGATGCTAAGGCAACAAAGCATGACTTTGCCTTCTACTCAGATCGTCTAATTAGATTGGTAACAACTATGTGCAAATTGAAGTATTATTATAAATTATCTTAAATTTGAAGATTTATAACATTGTGTGAAATTTTTTAGGTTGTCGAACATGGATTGGGTCACCTTCCTTTTTCTGAAAAGCAGGTGATAACTCCAACAGGTAAAGTATTAGTAGAATAATCTCAGACAACTTTTTTGGATTAAGAATAATAGTACATTACAAGATTTATTTTTATTAATTTTAAATCAATTTTTTTATTCACAATAGCTACTTTAATAACAGATTCGATAACGAGAATATCATATGAGATAGATATCTTCACTATATGCCTATAGAGAGTAATAATGATTCTGAGAGAGGCGGTATATTATAATAAGAATTTACTTTACGATTGTGTGAAGTTAATTTTCTGATTTTAAGTCTAACTCATTCTTCCATAATCGGTTTGGATGATGAATTTACATCCCAATTGTTATAATGAGAGATGAGAGAGATATAGATTATATAGATAGGAGTATATAGATGATATTAGAGATATATATTATATAAGTTTTAAATATTATTCTGATACCATAAATTACTTTCTAATAACATTACTTTAATTACTTTAACGAGGTTTCAAAATAACTCAATCAGGTTCACATGAATTTCTAAAAGTGACTCAATCTAATTATGTTTTCTTTTGTGAGTTAGATATTTTTAATCCTGTTGAATCTATTACATTTTGATGGGATGGTGAGTTGATTTATTTAAGGTTATTTCATTCTTCTAATTTATTTTATAAATTTGTTATAGTATAATCAAAGTCAATTTACTGTATTCACTTTCTTTTACTATGAGTACAATAAAAAAATTTACCATCATTAGTTTTTGAAAAATTAAATATCAAAACTATTAAAAATATTATTGCACAACATTATAATATTTAAAAAATTAAACTATCATCTATGTAATTAGAATTTTTAAATAATTATATTAAAAACCTTATAAAAAATAATAAAAACTTATAAATGTTTGTTATTGGTGGGTTACGGATTATCTTATCTTCAACCTTATACTCGAATTCGTTTAATTGTGAGTTATGTAAGTCCGGTTCAATTCAATCTCCAGAAAAATTGATTTTTTTTAATCCTAATCCAATTAAAACTTGTGTGGGCGAAGTTACATATTTATTATTCTATTCTTTTATATTTGTGCACTCCTCACAACCTGAAGTCATTAGAAAACATTTTATTCTTGAGAAAAAAGCAGAATAAAACAGTTTATGTATTTTATGAAGTACGTTTATTATGATACACTTGCTAATATCATCAACAAAAAGGTTGAAGTGGTATCTTATTGATGCAGGATCTGTATATTCTGGTGTTGTTTTCTGTAGTAGGTTGTGTGGAGTTTCAGTAATTAGAAGGTACCTAATTTTATAACTGTTTTCTTTAATCACCTTTTGAAATAAAAGATTTTGCATAAATAATTTAGTTAATTCTATATATTGCCAATAAATTTTCCATGAATTTGAGTTTAGAACTTGCTTTAATGAAGTGCATCTTGCAGTAAAAAGGGTCAAACCATGATGCCTCATAATTTGATCAAGTTATAAGTCTAAGTGAAACTGATAGATATTATTTTATCAGTAATATATATCTATCAGAAATTAACCATTTGTTTCAACAAATGTTAACACCTTCTTGACTTTAAATTAGACCTTGAAAATTCTTTCAGTCAAACATTGGAAAATATAGAACAATATTTTTCCTTAATTTTATAAATACTTGTGTATTACCTTATGGGAAATTTTTTATTCAACAGTTTTTCTTTAGGTTACATAATATTAAATGTGTTTATTGACAATTTTTATTGAACTCTTTCCTCATACTTTAACATTAGTGGAGAAAGCATGGAAAATGCATTAAGAGCATGTTGTAAAGGAATCAAGATTGGTAAAATCCTTATTCATGGACATGGCACAAATGGTCGACAGGTTAGTGGAGGGCAAAGAGTACATTGTTTTACATTTTCTTTTGGCATTTAGCTTGGATGTAAAGTGTGACAAATATAAATAATGAGAAAATGGTTTTTTAGGGGATCATTAGTGGATTTTTTTTGCTAAGGGTTTATTAGGAAGATATTAAATATATGTTATTTGAGTTCAACCTATATAAGATATTGATATGATTTTTGACTCAAATTTTCATGATATTGAATTTTGACTCAACATCAACACATTGAATTTGAGTCTTGTTTTTTTCTTATACGTGTTTAACTTTGTTATTTTTATTATATATGAAACTTAGACTCACACTTAGATTATTTCTAAGAGTCACACAAACTCATAATATTCTCTTAATAATATTATTTAAATCTACTTTTGTCAAAACATAATGACACCATGATTTCAATGTATTTATCCAACAAAGTGTGACAAATATAAATCATGAGAAAATAGTTTTGTAGGTGGTCCATCTAGTAGATTTTTTTTTGAAGGGTTTATTAGGAAGAGATTACATATGTTTTTTTAGTTCAATCCATGTAAGGGATTCATACCACTTTTAACTCAAAACTTCATGACATTGAATTTTGACTCAACCTAAAAACATTTAATTTGAATCTTTTTTTTTTCTTATATGGTGTTTAACTTTGTTATTTTTATCTTATGTGAAACTTAGACTCACTTAAATTATTCCCAAGAGTCACACAATGTCATAATGCTCTCTTAATAATATTATTTAAATATACTTTTGACAAAACATAACACCATGATTTCAATATCGAGCATCTCAAGGATCTACAAGGTTACCTATGTCATGAAGAACAAGTTCTTTTAGACTCATAGATTTTTACTTTCAAATAAGGTCTTGTTAGACATCACTATGAACTTTGACATCTCAAATATGCTGACACTCCTAAGCCCCACTGTCTAAGTCCATATATATGCTCTTCTCCTAGTAGGTAGATTTTCTGCTAAGTTTTGCACCAAGTTTATGTTTGTGATTTTTCCCATTCAAACTATTCCTTAGTTCACCCAACATTCCCATTTTTAGTCTCTAGTTTCCTAATTAGTTGGTCTTTGCAACTTTAAGAATTGAGTTATTGTCGAGCTTTGGAAATAAGTTCTTAAGAGTTGCTTCCTTACTCATTTATATTTCCATAACATAGAAAACTTAGAGAACCTTAGGATACATTTTACCACCATGATGTTATGGGCTTTTATCTCACATACAAACAATGTATTATTAACAAACTATAAAATATTTACTTTGATCTCACCAACCACCACTTTTACAATCTCGAACAATTGTTTTCTAGTTCTGTCTTATTATTCCTCTTATTTCCTTAGTTTTTTTAAGATATAGGAATAGAGCCAAATGACCTTCCTATCTTAACATTTAGGATTTAAATTCCTTTCTTGAGATTTGGTTTGTCAAAATCAAAATTGTGGAGGATTTTAGACATTTCTTAATCCATCTGATTCACTCTCCTTTTATTATTTAGCTTACAAACTACTACCTTACTGAATCACAGGCTTTTATGGCTTACATGGTATTGAAAATAATTTAAATATGAGTCTAAGTCGTCGGATAAAAATAATTAAGTTAAAGATTATCATATAAAAAAAACTCATAAACCTAATGTCTTTTAGTTTATGGTTAAAAGAGATATTAATCTCTTACGTGGATTAGGCTAAATCAAAAATATATAATTTCTTTCTAATAATGTCTTAAAAATCATCGTATAAATATTTTAGACTTATATAAAGATTATTGTTATTGGTACTTAAAAGAGAGTAAAGGACCAAAATAATAAATAATCACTATATATTGTAATATGGAGGTATTATTGGTATCCAATATTTTCAAATTATTTCTGACAAAAAATAAATGATGGTAATTTTGTTTCATTGGACTTCATAATGAATCAAATTAGGCAACTGTTTTTTCATGTTGTGTGTGATTTTTGTTTTTAGAAAAGACAATATATAGCCTATAATATTTAATTTTGTATGAAATGTGATGTTTAAGCTTATTTTGTTTTAAAGTTTGAGCTTTAGTTATTATTATTCTATGTTTGATAATAGGTGGTACTCAACAATCCTGAACTGTTGTTAGATTAATATAACCAAAGAAAAATGAAGTACTCAAACTTTTGCCGCATAATTTCTATAATTTTCATGAGATTCTAAACATTTTCAGATAGATCAATTGTCATTATATAGATACATTAACATATAAAATTCTTACCCATCTAATTATTTTGTTTATTATAAACTAAAACTATAAGATTCACTTTTTTTTCTCTCTACATAATATAATGCAGTTAGTATATGAGAAGCTGCCAAAAGACATTGCAAGTCGTCATGTTTTGTTACTCGATCCGGTTCTGGCTACAGGTTTTACATTATATACACATTTTTTAGTTTCCTATAATTTAAAATAACACTTTGAAAGTTGTTCACTTACTTTTCTAGAGAAATATTTGCCTAATAATGTGTTTGAACGAGTTAATTTAGTGAATTTGAATTTGTTTTTTTGGTGTAGAATGAATTGTTTAGATGAGGAAATTAAAAAACAATAATAATTGAAATTAAGAAATTTTAAGAAGTATTTCAAATAATTAAAGTAATAGAGTTTGAAATTTATTAAAAAGGTAAACTAAAATTTCACAACAAATTTTTTTTTATTATTAATAGTTATTAATTTGACCCATGACTCATTGGTCAATATCCCAAGCCACTCTAAATAAACTTCTATTTTACTGGCTTACCAAACGAGGGACTTTAAAAAGTTCATTCCCTAAACCTTTCTTTTAGAGTGGATTAAACCTTTCTTTTAGAGTGGATTAAGATCGAGACTTAAAAAATTCATTCGCTAAAACTTTCTCATAAAGTGGAATAAGATTAGGACTAATGTGAGTTTTATCTTATTATAAGACTTTAATAAACTCTTAAATACAAGACATTCAACCCAGATCAAAGGTTGAGCCCAGTCGACCTATGTTGAAGATTGAATTGAGTCAGCTTGAGTTAATGGTCTAAATGATTCGACTAGGCCAAAGGTCAAGAGGAGTCTACCTAGGCCACGAGATTAAGCCTTCAGCCTAGGATAGCTCGACTCTACCTTTTCACTCGAACTACCTCAGGCCAACTTTTAACCTAAGTCGACTTGTCTCAATCTTCAAGTCTAATTGGCTCTACTTGACCTTCGATTCAAGGAAACTCAACTTGATTTTGTAGTTGGAGATGACTTACCTCCACTATCTCCCCAAATTGGCTCAGCTAAAACTTCACTCCCGACTGACTCGCCTTACTTCTTCAGCCTGGTCGACTCAACTCAACCTTTGGCTTGACTGATTCAGCTCGACCTTTGTCCGAGCCAACTATGCACGACCTTCAGCTCATGCTAAATTTTTTTTATCATTAGCCGAGTTGACTCAACTTGACCTTTAACTGTGTAGGCTCAACTCAACCTTCAAACTGAGCTAACTTAGCTCAACCTTCGACTACTTAGGCTCAGGTTGGCTCAGATCGGGCTGACTTAGCTCAACCTTTGGTTAGGATTAGCTTAACTCGACCTGACTTTTGGCTTGTCCTAACTCGATTTGACTCTTTAGTTTGATTGACTTGGCTTAATTCTTCCATATAACTAACTCGACTCGATGTTCGACTCAGGTCAACTCAGCTTAATCTTAGACCCAGGCTAACTTTTGTTGACCAAAGTTAGTTTGTCTTGATCTTCAGCATAGCCGCTTATCTCGACCTTTGTCCCAACCCATGTATCTCAACCTTCAACCTCGATTGACTTGTTTAGAACTTTGACTTAGGTTAATTTAACTTAGCGTGAGGTGTATTTGACTCTATTCAAACCTTATCAATCTTGAGTTAACTTAAACACAACTTTATCTAAATCCCACCTGAACAACTTACTTGACATGGTCTTTTCCCAACTTTGTCTATCTTAATTTAAAACTAATGCATAAATCAATGCATTAATCCCACCTGAACAACTTACTTGACATGATCTTTTCCTAACCTTGTCTATCTTAATTTAAAACTAATGCATAAATCAATGCATTGATCAGGTCGAGGCTCATAGGACTTTTGTTATACCTTTGGTATTGTTAAATTTTTCTTATGTAGGATTGTTTGCCACATAAAGTTCCTTTTGACTTGAATTCATGTGGAGTAGGTGTAAATTTTTTTGGACTGAGCTAACGATAGTTTTACTATACATTTGAAATATATATTTTTAAAATAAAATTTTACCTTAAAAAATTATTTTTATTATTCTAAAATGTAAGATACTTTAATTACTTATCTGTATAAAATATTTTTAAAAAATAAAAAAAATTAATTACAAGTAATTCAAATATTGTTATTTTAATCTAATAAAATTATTGAAATATATAGTGAGGCATTTTATAAACCCAATATTTTTATTTAAAGGTTTTTATATTTTTTTTTTACTTTTCTTTCTTTCTAAAACGTAATTATACATTTAAAAAGAAAATAAAAATAGGTTTCTGAACTAAATAAATATTTAATTTTTTTTCTTTAAAAGAATTGAGTAAATTTTCAATAAAAATATTTTAATCTTGTTATATGTAACATTTTCAATTATGGTGCCTTCAATTATTTTCTCTCTAACTTTATAGCATTTCCTTTTTTCTATTTTCTGTAATTTTTCTTAGTTGCTCTTTCCAATTTATGATATTTTCTTATTGTATTTCATTTATCTATATTATAAAAATTATGATGGCTACTAATGATATCACAATGGTAACATAGGTTATCATATCATTAAATAAAATATGATCAAATATCTCATCATTAAATGATCATGTTATTATATGCTACACTATGTCATTAGGCATTAAAAATTCAAAGCGACATTGTCAAAATGAAAATAAATATATATAATAATTAAAAATATATATATTTTTATAGAGGGCTAAAGATTAAATTCAATATTTAACTTTGCACACCCTTTATATATAGTTCAATATACACCCATTTTCTTGTTTGTGTAAATTTTCGACATGATATTATAACAATGTTAAAATGTATATCCTTTAGATCAAGATACCTATATGTACTATCTTATATAAGAAATAAATTTACTTTTTGAATTCATATGACTATTTAAGTTATATTAGAAGTTGAATCACAAAGTTCAGCGAAGATGATGACATAATAAACCTAATATTTTTTGGGAACTAGAACAATGTAAGCAAAAAGATTATGTAGTTTTAATTAAGTTATGACATAATAATTAATGTTCATTGTTATCATTAATAATTTTTTTTAAGTTTGACACTTTTTGCTATTTACATCCCGTTCTAGATCAGACATAGATTCAAAAAATATAAATTTACATTTGTTATTTTAATAGATGCAAATTTATGTTTGGTACTAAGATAACATACGTAAATTTTGTATTTCTTCCATTTTAACACCCAAATTTATGTTTGTTATCCCTATAACATACGTGATTTACATATGTTAATACATTAACATATACAAATTTACGTCTCTAAATGTAATAATAGACATAGTTCTTAAACATTTTGTTGGTTTTGGCATGAAACCAAAACCTGAAAACTTGAAATAATCTAAAACAACATATATATTTTTCATACGACACTGATAGTACATTAACAGAGTCAAAGTACATATATATAATGAATACAAAAGATAAATAAATGAAAGGAAAAAACTACTTAAAACGTAATCTTCTTGTAAATGTTTGAAGAGATAAGTTTTCCACTCTCTTATTTCCAACGTGTCATTGTTTGGTATTGGGGAGACATCACCGAAGTCCTAAAATAGTGATACATTATTAGTATGTATAAAGTTCCTTAAACCGTACAATGCATGAACAAGTTATAAGTGTTTATATACATTTGTACATTTTTCAATGATTCTTTCCTTAACGATAGTTTTCATCTAATGCATGACATAATAACCACCATAAGAAAACAATTATGCATATTATACTAAAATTACAAAAGGAAAAATTAATATCACATATAACTTATATACAAAATCATTTATTTAAGTTATGATTCCTAACCTTTGGAGTTATAAATTGAAAATCTTTTGATCTCCTATGCAATAATTGGTTAGTTGTTGTCACAACTCTAGTTAAATTGAAAAGACACAACTCTAGTTAAATTGAAAAGATGTTAGTCATAATTGTTATATACTAATTGGATGTTATGAAACTTGTAAGATTACTCTTGTTGAAAGTTCTTCATGTCAGATTGGAATCTTGACTATTAATTGCCAGAAACATGTAATGAAGGAGAAATAGCTAGTTCAATAATTACAATAACTTAAAAATAAAATCTCACTAAGTAAGACTAACCCTTTAATGTACATAACCAAATAAATACACTTTCGTGAGGTGGTAATCCAATCTATCATATACTTTGTAACATGCTTGTATTGCCAAACAATTAAATGCTTTAGGGCTCAAAAATTTCATACACTTATGACTGGTCTAGGACCACACTTATTGCGTCCATATACCTAAGCAATGAATTATACATTAAATGCAATAATTTTAATATAGTAAATATATAAGACGTTAATACTATATGGATGATAAAAATATTTAATATCTTGTCTCCACCATACATCTTAATTGCATCAACAATAGCAATGTAAAATGGGCATGACATTTGAGCCCAAATACTGAAAATCCCATTGTATGGCTATTGGTATTCTCATTATCTTAGACAATATGTATACAAGTATTTGAAGTGGTTTATCCGCTTCTTTTGTCATTTTGTCATCTTCACAACAAGTTCACACACCTTCTTTTAAGGATGAGGGACCTGAAATAAATATCGATGTGTCATGTTAGTTCATGTATATGTAAATTATAAAAAAAGTGTTTAAAAGACAATGTAATTTTTAAAGTTTTCGAATTTCAAAATTCAAAACGAACTTTAAATCAAAGGATGAAATGACCATTTTAATATTAATAAGTGTAGAAGAAAAGTATGGGGTGCAAAAGGAAATGGCCAACTGTGAATACTCCCACTATCCACTAGTATGGTGATTGGATGTGAGATGCTTCAAGCTTCATGTGAAGGCAGTGGTAAAAGGATGAAATGGAGGAACTAGAGAGAATGGAGTGATAAGACCGTTGGGTGAGAATTACATCCATCTTAATTGAGAGACCTATTAGGATAAATTGATTTTGGATAAAAAAAACTTCACATGCTCTTGGGGTCTTAAATTAATAAGTATTATTTATCATAACAATAGAAAAACTTCATCACTTAGAACTCGCTAGGATAGGTTCTAATCATGGCTCTGATACCATGTTAGAAAATGGATTTTTAAGTCTAACTCAACCCAACAAAACCGGCTTGTAAGGTAAAGTTTGCACCTCACTTATATATTATAAATTGGTCTTATCTTTAGTCGACGTGAGACTTCCAACAGTAAATATTTTTATTTCTATCATTTTGACCATAGAGCTAACAATTGGTGTCACCTAATAAACTACCGTTGTATGTGCAAACTATGTTAGAGGATTAAAGTCCTGGAAGGTAGAGTACATTATGTACGTATTTATTTAAATATTAAATATATATTTATGGTTATATATATATATATATATATATATATATTACTTTTAATTATTTTTCACTTATTTTGTAAATTCGTTGAACAATGTTGAAGATATATGTATAATATACCTTACAAAATAAAACAGTTTACAAATGTTTGGAATAATATAATCTATAACGATGAGTATTAGAACATTGAATCAAAAAGTAAGAGAATAGCTTTATAGAAAAAAAAAGTGTATTGAGATTTAATCAAAAGATATGTAACGGGAGTGTTTTTTTTTAAAAAGAAAGAATTGGAGTATTTTTTTATAAGAATTCAAAAATATTTATCATTATTTCGTTCAAAAATAATTTATAGGAAACAAAATTGAGAAGATTTCATTAATTATATTTAAGAATAATCGATTGTTTTATTTTATTTATTTTAGAAGCAACATAAATGACTTAATCAATGAGGTAATTAATTATTTATCTGATAAATTTTTTAATATATATATATATACATATATTCTACCTTCAGTTGAGTTGAATTGTTGCCTACTTAAATTTGGTTGAAGGAGTGTCTAATATTGGTAAGTATCAGGAAACTCTGCAGTGAAAGCTATCTCTCTACTTCTGAAGAAAGGTGTACCAGAATCTAATATCATATTTCTAAACTTAGTAGCAGTAAGTCAGTTTGATTTGTTTTCTTCACCCTTTTGTTGATGCAGTTTCCTTGCATTGTTATTAACAAGATTGCATGCATGCAGGCACCACAAGGAATAAATGCAGTGTGTGAGAGATTTCCACTGATAAAACTTGTGACATCAGAGATTGATCAATCACTCAATGAGAATTCTCATGTCATCCCTGGCTTAGGGGAGTTTGCTGATCGTTACTTTGCCACTGATGATTAGCACACCAACCAAATCCAACCAACTTCATTTCATAGAATCTACTTGCATAAACATATCTAGAACTATCAATAACACTATCAAAATATAACTTGCTCGTACATACTAAATATAAACATAATCTCTATAGCATTTTCATAGTTTTTATTAATTAATGAAATGGATAAACTTCATTTTAGCAACGACAAATCTATTAGCTTTTCTCAGGAGGATATTGGAAATATTCGATTCTATAATAGGTCATCAGCCAAATCATTTAAAAGAGTATGACACTGTCTTTAGTCTTCAAAGGCATAAATAATATAGGCTTCTGATTTTTTATTTTCTTATGAATTGTTTAAATTTTGTTGTGTGTTCAATATAGAACTAAAATTTATGCTTGGATTTTTAATATTTTTTGTTTTCCATGTTAAACTCGACTTACATGGATGAACTTACTGTAAGTTGAATTAAAAGTGAGTTAGAATAACTCGATTCACATTAAAAATGAGTTAGAGTAACTCGATTATTTTTTTAATTAAAAGTTTTATAATGTGATTCTATTCGCTATAAGTTGATGATTTAAGTAGGTTAACTCAATTAAGAATGAATATTTTCTTTTTCCATTTATTTTATATATTATTATGGTTCAAGGAAATCGATTCAATTTATTTATTTATATACCAATATAATTAAAAATGTTCACATATTTTATTAAACATTATTTTAAATATAATAGTTAAAAATTAAAGTATTAATATATAATTAATTAATTGGGAAAAAATTAAATATCCAAACCATTTAAAGATTATTACATAATATATTTTTTTAAAAAATAAATTGTCTCTTTATATAATTAAAATTAGTAAATAATTATAATCGTTCCTACAAAACCGTGACAGAATTTCATGTTCAGATGCAGACAATTCTTCATATGCATGGTGATTAATCCTAATGATGTCACTCGACAAACTTGAGATCAGAACATTAGCGCTCATCATGAGACCAACAACCAAGCTCTAACATGAACCATCGGTTGCCTTAAATCTTCCATTGGGATGAACCGCCATTTCCTTAACATTTCGATTGAGCAATTTATGTTCCTATACCACACCCAATAGTCTCACATCGCTTAGAAGTTGAGGCCTAAGACAATTTAAATATTCATTTTTCCTTCCATCCTCTAAGGCACTTTTTAAGGATAAAATTGTGATGGAGCTCTAGTCTACAAAGTGGAAAATACCTAAAGAATGTGGTGATTGATCCTAGTGATGTTATCTCAGAAAACTTGGGATCGGAACATTGGTACCCACCATGGGCCAATAATGAGGTTCTCTGTTAAACTGCTTTTCGTCGCACAAAAACAGAATAAACTAAGTTTCCCCACTAATGAAGTATAGGGACAACCTAGGTATCAATCCAAAGACTCGGCTAAAATTAAGATTAAAGTGTAGAATTAATTCTTGTATTTTATTTACTAACTACTAACTCACAGGTGGGGAAACGGAATTAAAACAAAGAAAATTTAAAAGAAAACAGTAAAGAAACGAAAACTGTTTTAAAAAGAAAAGAAGAAAAATAAAATGCAAGAAAATAAAACCTAAACTAAACTATAGAATCTATGTATAACAGAAGAGAACCTAAACTAAAATGAGAACTGAATGCAATTAAAACTAACCTATGAATGCTAACAGTTAACAGCACAAGGAAAACAAAACTAAAACTGAACCTAATCTATATATCATCAAATAGAAAATAGGAGCAGAAATCATAATTGAAACAAAACAAGAACAATATAACAACACTGAAATTGAATTTAATCTGACAATTATGAAGCTTAACATCTCTCAAGAAGACCTCTTGATAAGTCATGCTCACTATGGAGTCACATTACATCCAAAACAGATGTAGAAATGCGGATATTTTCCTTCACAAATCTCAAATAAAATTCAATTCCAGATTTAAAATCACATACAAAAATAATAGAAGAAAAAGAATAAAAACACAAAACTGAATGAGTTTTTATTTACTGGACTCATCTTTGGCTCGAGAAGACATCTCGAAAGTGAATGCTCAAAATAGAGTCATTTGATTCCAAAAGGAAATATAGAATGCAAAGAATCACAGTCCAATTCGTTTATTCATTGAAACAACACAAGAAACACACAAGCACGAAACATAACAGAATATCAAAACACTGAACATGTGAAACATCAAGAACAAACTGTATTATTAACGAGAAAAGAAAAATTACAAAAATTGTACCGAATACATGCTCAATCAGAGTCACCGCGGCTGTCACCACCGTGATGTGCGCTCTAAAAGCAAAGAGAACGGAATCCTACTCTATAGAAAGTGGAAAATAACCCTAATCTACAGAGCTTAGAACTATGAACAGAAAATGTATCTCAAAGTGTGCAAAAGTATAT